CGTGGCAAGACGTGATTGTCTGTGTGGGTGTGTGTGAAGTGCTGTCGAGTCAGAGCTGACTCATGGCCCATGGTCCCTCCAAGCTGTGGAGTCCTGTGAGCAACAATTCTACTTTGTGAGCTTTGTGAGTGAGCAGTTTGGCTGCTGCGTAAGTTAGTTCGCTCCGGAGCCCTCCTTCCTGAGCTAAGACAAAAAAAAAATATATTGTGTGAGCTGGAGGCTAGAAAACTGTGAGCCGGCTCACACAAGCTCGGCTTAGAGGGAACACTGCTCAAGGCAAACGCGTAGGGTTTTCAAGGCAAGGGGCGTTCAAAGGGGGTCTACTGTTGCCTGCCTCTGCGTCACGACCCTGGACTTTATTGGTGGTCTCTCATCCATATACTAGCCAGGGCTGACCCTCCTTAGCTTCCGGGGACTGATGAGATGGGCTAGCCTGGGCCATCCGGGTCGAGGCAAGAGGTGAACAGAGGTGGTCTTGCCGTTGCCTGCCTCTGCACAGCAACCCGGGACTTCCCGGGTGGTCCCCCATCCGAGTACTAACCAGGGCCGACCCCTGCTCAGCTCCCGAGACCTGACGAGATCGGGCTGGCCTGGGCTATCCAGGAAAACTGGAAATTCAAGAGTTAGGATGGGTCGACGCTACCTTCTGCCACTGACCAAGCTTGCCTTGCTTCTGCTATCTCTCTCCTCAGCAATCGCACGGGGGACTTTGGGACAGGTTTCGTTTTATGACCGTGGAGTTCTCTGACTGAGTAACCCCTCCGTTCCAGTCTCAGGCAAATGTTTGTTCTGCAAGCACGGGCTTAACCGGGATCAAGAGAGACGTCTCAGAGACAAGCTGAACAGCGATAGCTTCCGACCAAATTGTTCTGGCGTAATCCACCAACGATAACTCTGGTGGGCGCAGGTGTTAAAGGGCGATGAAGGATTTCCGTCCCTTCGGGAGGTTCGTCACCTTCCCAGACAGGTAGATAAACTAGCAGCAACTGGCCGCCACCAAGAGAAAAAGGTGCCAGAAATTCAGGAAGAGCACGACATGCCTTTTATCATGGGAGGCCACTAAATTATTTCTTTAAAATGTACAGTGTGGCAGAACAATTCAACGGGGTGGCTCACACACTCAACAGAACCACAAGCGTAAGAAGAAGAGGAGATTGGATTTATACCCCGCCCGTCACTACCCGCAGGAGTCTCAGAGCGGCTTACAAACTCCTTTCCCTTCCCCTCCCCACAACAGACACCCTGTGAGGTTCAGTTACCGAGATCTGACGAGATCGGGCGAGCCTGAGCCATGCAGGTCTTCTCTCTTTTTTGTGTGTATATTTTTATATGTGCATTTGTGTGTGTGTGCATGTGACTGTGTGTGCACCCGGAAGTCATGGCGACCTCTGGCGACTGACCCCTACTGGGGGCCTGGAGGATATTCAGAGAGGTGGCTGAGTGAAGCCTGCCCCTGTCCTCCTGACTGCTGGTATTCCTTGGAGGTCTCCCATTCCCAGTCCTTGCCAGAGTTGACCCTGCTTAGCGACCGAGCTCTGACGAGATCGGGCTGGCCTGGCCTGGCCTATCCAGGTCAGGGGGCTCCACGGCATTATTGAAAGCTACCGTGGCATTGCGGCTAAAGCGTCAGGCTGGGATCTGGGAAGCCGAGGTTCGAATCCCCGCTCTGCCATGGAAACTTGCCGGGTGACCTTGGGCCGGTCACACGCTCTCGGCCAAACCGACCTCACAGGGTTGATGTGAGGATGAAACGGACGGGAAGACAACGACGTAGGCTGCTTTGGCCCCCCACTGGGGAGGAGGGCAGGATACAGCTAAAGTAAATAAATACATAAATCATACCTTGCTGCAGGGGTTATTTCCTGCAGGAACACAAAGGAGCGGAGCTCCGGCAGTAAAGAGCCCAGGAGGCGAGCACATGCAACAAGCCCCGCCCCCTGCTCCCAGCAGCCCTCAGTCAGAGCAAGAAGCAGCCAGGTAGATTGCAGAGCCAACAGGTCCAAAACAGTCCAGTGGCACCTTTAAGACCAAGTCTTATTCAGGTACAAGCTCTCCCTCCTCTGCGAGGACAAATCTGCATGTCCCCCCCCCCCAATAGCTAGCAATCCAAAACAGTCCAGTGGAACCTGAGCGGTGGGTGTTGCCTTCAGACACACTTCCGGTGATGTCAGGGGGTGTGGCACATGCAAATGAGTCATGCTAATGAGCTCCTGCACCTCTTTTTCTACGAAATGACCCCTGCCTTGCTGATATCCCTTCCCTTCTCGAACCCCACCCTCCCCAGGCTCCACACCCAAATCTTCGGGTATTTCCCAATCCGGAGTCGGCCGCTCCGCAAAGCAGTAACGCGTGGAAGGGGATATCCTTCCGGGGACCTACTGGATCGTTCCCGGAGGGTGGCAGAAAGTGCACTTCAGGTCCCACGTTTCTGACTCCCACACGGTGACGATTTCCTTGAAGCCGACGGCCAGCACGGAGCCGTCTTCGGAGAAGCAGCAGTTGGTGGCCGGATAGTTGTGATAGCTCCCTACGAAATCACAGGTCCAGCCTGCGTTTTGGTCTGTTAAGAGAAAAAACACATGTTTTGACGTCCTGAACGCGCTGAATAACATACACGGGTGAAAAAACCAAAATGGTGCAGGAGCGGATCTGATCAGGTTGAGACCAAGGGGCCTTACGATCTGCTAATCAACATCTCTTGGTGATCCCCGGCCCCGGGGACGCCCGTCTTGACCAGGGACAGGGCCTTTTCGGCCCTGGCCCCTACCTGATGAAATGAGCTCCCGTATAAGATCAGTGACCTGCGGGACCTTTTACAGTTCCTCAAGGTCTGCAAGACGGAGCTCTTCCGCCAGGCTTTTAGTAAGGGGAGTGGGCGTCCCTCCCTCTACTGGGCCTCCCCTCAACGGGTCAGATCTGTATGACCATCTGGGAACCCCAATCTGAAACAGGCCTCATCTGTTGAGGCTCTGACTAGAAACATTTTCTCTGAGGTATTTTAATTGTTTTTAATTGCCTGTATATTCTATCTGATGGAACCCGCCCTGAGTCTGCTATATGGTGAGGGCGAGATACAAATCTAATAAAATAAGTACATAAATAAATAAGTTGGCATCTTCCCTCGACAGTTGCAATAAAATGTCGGGAGTCTTTTTAAAAAACTCATTAACTTATTTATGCTGATCGATTCGGGGGGGGTAGCTGTGTTGGTCTGAAGCAGCGGAACAACGTTGGAGCCCAGTGAGACACCTTTTAAGGCCAACAGAGATTAATTCTGGGTATACGCTTTTGCGTGCAGGCACACTTCTTCAGATGTATCTGAATGACATACACGGGTGAAATGTATCTGAAGAAGAAGAGAAGAGATTGGATTTATACCCTGCCCTTCACTACCCAAAGGTGTCTCAGAGTGGCTCACAAACTCCTTTCCCTTTCCCTCCCCACAACAGACCCTGTGTGGTAAAAGAAGAAGAGAAGAGATTGGATTTATACCCCGCCCTTCATTACCCAAAGGAGTCTCAGAGCGGCTTACAAACTCCTTTCCCTTCCCCTCCCCACAACAGACACCCTGTGAGGTAAAAGAAGAAGAGGAGATTGGATTTATACCCCGCCCTTCACTAACCAAGGGAGTCTCAGAGCAGCTTACGATCTCCTTCCCCTTCCCCTCCCCACAGCAAACACCCTGTGAGGTCGGCGGGGCTGAGGGAGTTCTGACAGAAACGGCTCTTTTTCAAGAACAGCTCTTGTTAGAACTACGGCTTGCCCAAGCTCATCCAGCCAGGTGCAAGTGGAGGAGTGGGGAATCAAACCCAGCTCTCCCAGATTAGGGTCCGCACACTTCACAACACCAAACTGGCTCTCTCAGGGCCTGCAAGAAATGCACATGCACACAAAAGCGTATACCCGGAATTAAAGTGTTCATTGGCAACTGCGGAATACGAACTGCAACATTACGAGCTTCTCCCGGTACAAACATATTTTTTTTCCTCATTAGAAAGGAAGCCCTTGGGCATTCTTAATAAGGACCCTCCCCACTCTCCAAACCCTGTAGTGTGAACAGCAGGTGGGGGAACTTCCCACCTAGGAGCGGACGTCGTTTGCTATTTTAAGTGTACAGGACAAAATCTGTTTTATCAATAATATATGGAGGCCGAAAGATTTATGCGATCTGAAGAGAAACCAGAGTATGAGATCTTACATCAAATATTTAGATATCAGCAATCATAGAAGAATTTTTACCCTATTAAGATACAACACCTTACCCTCAGCCATAATGGAGGCTAGATATACTAGATCATTGAGGAAAAGTTGTATATGTGGGATGGGACCTGATGAAACATTGGAACATGTAATTTTCGATTGTCTTATATATCATCATATCAGGGAAGTTTTGATCAAGCCGATAGTTAACTCCTTCCCAGGTCGTAATAGAAGGACACTTTTGTCAAGTATGCTGGCAGGAGATAACCAAAAGCTGACTAGGATGGTTGCCAAATTTGGTTGGTTGGCATACCAAACTAGGAAAGAGATAAAGTTCAGATAGGCCTAAACCTAACCTTTGATCATAATTTTGATTATATTATATCTGTATTTTAAAGTTTTTAGATCCTTATTTATAATTTTAGATGCCACTATATTTTATAATTTTACTGCTCCCTTAACTGTATTTACTTGTCTTCTATTATACTGGTCTATGACTGTAATAAACTTGATTGATATGGAGGACTCCTCAACCTTTTTGAGCCTGTGGGCACCTCTGTGGGCACCACAAAATGGCCACCATGGGAGGCAGAACCAACCACAAAATGGCTGTTGCAGGGGCAGAGTCACACACACACACACAGGAGAAGCCTAAGCGCAAAGGAGAACAGGGTAATAATAATTTTAAAAACCCACTGGGAAAGAGGAGTGAGAGAATAAAATCAACACTGTTGTGGCAGCTGCTGCTGACACATCATTTTAATCTACACAGCCTACCAGATCTCCAGTGGCCAATCAGAACCAACTCCATAGCTAGGGATTTTTTGGGGAGGGGGCCTGGGGGGGGGAGAGCTAATTAAAGCAAAGTTAAATTAATTGAATTGGGGGGGGGAGCCCGTGAGGGAGGCCCCCCAGAAGAAGCGCTAGGGGGCCGGGCCCCATGGGCCCCATGTTAGGTACAGGCCTGATTCAGAACCCCTACTGGAAGAGAGTCCCATCTGGCCCCACCCACTTCCTAAAAACACTCGGCGAGCCCCAGGAAAGGGGCGACCATGCTATATGGATTTATTTTTAATGATCTAACTTAATGATACACCGCTTTTCTCCCCGATGGGGACCCAAAGCCACCTCACAACGTCATTCCCACTTTTATCCCCGCAACAACCAATCTGTGAGACGGGTGAGGCTCAGAGGGGGGGCCAAGCTCACCCAGCAAGCTTCCAAGGCATCGGGATTCGAACCCGGGTCTCCCAGGTCTTACTCTGGAACGCTAATGCTGACACCATGCTGGCTCTCACACCATTTAAAAAAACAACAACAATGCACCAGGCCTTCCATGCCTTAAAAAGAAAATATTAAAGACCACCCCATTCAAAACAGGGAAGAGACACTGCCTGTTGTATTAGAAGCAATGCTCCCTCTAAGCTGTGGAGTCTTGAGAGCAAAAATTCCACTTTGTGAGCTACTGACATTAAATTCGGCGCATGCATCAATTCGTTTGCTCTGGAGCCCTCCTACCTGAGCCAAGACAAAAAATGTGTGAGCTGGAGGCTAAAAAGCAGTGAGCTAGCTCACACTAACTCAGCTTAGAGGGAACGCCTCAGCAGTCAGGCGGGAAGTAGCCTAAGGTTTGTCTACTGGAATGAGAGGGTGGAGCGGAGTCATTTTCTCAAGACCCAGGAGGTCAGACCAGAACTAATGGGTTGAAATTAAATCCAAATAGCTTTCAGCGAAACATTAGGCAGATGTTTATCCGGTCCCCTCTCGAACCTGCCTGTGCTTGTAGCTGCCACCACTTCCTTTGGCAGGGAATTCCACCTTAATTACTCTTTGGGTGAAGAAGGTCTTCCTTTATTTGTTCTAAGCCTACTGCTCATTAAATTCATTTGAGCGCTCACAAGTTGTTATATTGTGAGAAAGGGAGAAAAGCCCTTCTTCCTCTACCTGCTCTATCCCATGCGTAACCTCGTAAACCTCGATCATGTCCCCCCTCAGCCGTCGCTTCTCCAAGCTTAAGAGCCCCAAGCGCTTTCACCTTTCTTCACAGGGAAGGAGTTCTATCACCTTCATCATTCTGGTCGCCCTTTTTACAAGAAACACGCCCACACTTACTTTCCTCATCGTTCTCAGCCAGGAACACCCAGACTTTAAACCGCCCATCTTCGCTGGCTGTTACTACGGTCGGGGGGATGCTGTCGGGTTCTCCCGTGTCACGAAAGCACAACGCTGTGATATGGTCCTCGTGCGGCATGTTTATTCGGGTGTTCAGTGCAAAGCTATGGCAGAGGAAGGGAAAAAACACACACAAATGTTTGCATGAGATTCGTGGGGGGCTGATGTGCCTCTGTGGTCAAATTCGAGGGGCCCCCCCCGAGGGAGTGCCTGGGCTGGATAGGAAGTCGGGGGGGTGCTTGGCAGTAAGTCAGGGGGCCGGGCCCAGAGATGCCCCACTGTAGCTACAGGCCTGGGTACGAGTATATAATTCCAGACATGGCCGTTGGACTGGATTTCCTGCACAGCGCAGGGGGTTGGACTGTAAGGCCTCCTCGGACTCAAGGGCTGTGCAACTAGTACTGATGTGTTATTTTTCACTTTATCTTCAACGTGCCTTTATCAAATGGGAGACTACAGTCTAAAATTACCACTGAACAGTATGGATTCATTATGTTGTACTGTCTGGGTCATTCTATTGCTGACAGCGACAGTCGTCCGACAGAGAAACTTCAAGAGGAGATTACAACGTGAGGTTGCCAAACTTGAATTCATTCACGAGTTCAGAACAATGGCCCCTCCAGGACTTAATAGGGACACGGGATCCTTATCTCATAACAGATGCTTATTTTCTGCCCTCAAGCATTTCCCCTCTGCTCCAGTCAAGCTAAACACGACATGCACTGTACCTTTGCATCCTGAGTTCCTTCTCTGCAAAGCCCCTCCCACCCTGACTGGGATTTAAGGACTCAGATATCCATTCCACTTGTATCTGATGAAGACAGCTTTGACTCTTGAAACCTTATACCCCCAAAAATCTTGCTGGTCTGTAAGGTGCTACTGGATTTGAATCCAGCTGTCGAGCATCAGGAATTAATTTGACCTTAAACTACCACGCCATGTTCTCCTATACGACCCACTGGAGGATGGAAATGGACCTAAGAAATAGTACCATTTGCCTGCTGTGAATAGTGGACTGTAGGCACATCTATGGCAAATGTTTACTGATGTGAACGACCTGTACCTGAGACTCTGGAGAGCCGCCGCCGGTTGGAAAAGACAACGCTAACCTTGATGGACCGAGGGTCTGATTCAGTATAAGGCAGCTTCACGTGTGTTCACAGGAAGTAATAATTATCGTATTGTGCTCTGTGTGTGGTATAGCCAGGAGATCTGAAGATTGTCTGGCTGCGTGAAGAACTAGCTCCTTTTAAAGTTATGCACCACTAGGTGGCGAGGTAGGCTTATCTGGCTGTCCTCAACCAGGGCCAGGGCTTTTTTGGCCCCGGCCCCCACCTGGTGGAACGCTCTGCCGGAGAACATCCGTGTCCAGCGGGAGGGGGAGGAGGAGATTGGATTTATACCCCACCCTTCACTCGGAGTCTCATAGCGGCTTACAAACTCCTTCCCTTCCCCTCCCCACAACAAGCACCCTGTGAGGTAGGTGGGGCTGAGAGAGCTCTGAGAGAACTGCTCTTTCAAGGACAGCTCTGACAGAACAACGGCATGCCCAAGGTCATCCAGCAGCTGCAAGTGGAGGCGTGGGGAATCGAAGCCAGTTCTCCCAGATTAGAGTCCGCACACTTAACCACTACACCAAACTGGCTAATTACCTTTCTGCAGGGAGTTAATTACCTTTCTGCAGGACCTGCAAGGCAAAGATGTTCCGCCGGGCATTCGGTTGAGGATGGCAACGCGACAGTACGACACCTGGCCCTCTCATATACTCCCCCCCCATCCCTCATAACCCCCCCCCCGGGGGGGGGTCTGGGGAGCTGAATTTTCCCCACCAATCTTGAACTGCATACTGCTTTATTTATTGATCTATTTTATGTCGTTTTAAAATGTTGGTTTTAATTTAAATCGTTTACTGTACACTATCTTGTGGCAAGCCGCTCTGAGCCCTACTTGTAAGGAAGTACAAATCTAATCTAATAAATAAAGTAACATTTTTTCCGGCCTAGAAGTGCCTCCCTCAGATGGAATACTGAGCAAGCCGCTGGAGGGATGATGGACGCAGAAGCCCCCCACGCCGATCCCACCGGTGTTCCCTCTAAGCTGGGTTAGTGAGAGCCGGCTCACCGTTTTTTAGCCTCCGGCTCACACATTTTTGTCTTCGCTCAGGAAGGGGGGCTCCAGAGCAAACTCGTTTATGCAGTAGCCACATCGCTTGCTCACACAACTTTAATGCCAGGAGCTCACAAAGTAGAATTTTTGCTCACAAGAAGACTCCACAGCTTAGAGGGAGCATTGATCCCAGCCGCCATGGCGAAATCCAGAGCAGCAGCATGCTCTTTCCCGCGCTTGAAATAACGACCCAGCACCATGACGCATCGATGCACGGCACCGGCCAACATTAAGTACAGCACACCCACTTAATACCTGAAGCCCCGCTCTGCAGAAGACAGCGTGCTAGGGACCACGAACACTACAGAAGGGTCAGTGGGTCACCTAAGTGTGGGGGAACACAACCCTCAGTGTGGTGCAGTAGTTAGAGCAGACAAAAAAATGGAAAGGAACTGTGGGAAAAGACGCCAACAAAATATTATGCCAATCTCCGTGTGCAATTAATATTGAGCGGGACTATCACAAGCACATAAGTACAAAAATTCCAAGTACAATATTAAGCGTGCAAATCGATAAATATGGAGTCCAAGAATACTGGAGTCCATGAAAACGAAGTCCAGGAAAACTAACGGAGATTCCAAATAAGTCTTGCGTTTCAACCGTCTTCTTCAGAGATGGACTGCAGTTGCCTTCGAAAACAGATTTTACATCGTTTCAATTCTCAAAAGGTAACTTCAAATACCATCCAAGTTCAAATCGCAGAAAGAACAATTTTCAAAATAAGCTAGCAAGTAAATTTACAACAGAGCACACGCTCCTTCATATTAAAATCATATTTATAGACTTACGCACTTGATATTGTAACTGAATTTTTGTATTTATGCGCTTGTGATACATTCCTGTTCAATATTAATTACACACAGATTTGCAGAATATTTTTATTAGCATCTTTTCCCAGTGCGCGGACTCTAATCTGGGAGAACCGGGTTCGATTCCCCACTCCTCCACTTGCATCTGGCTGGATGGCCTTGGGCAAGCCATAGCTCTGATAAGAGCAGTTCTTGAAAAAGAGCAGTTTCTGTCAAGAGCTCTCTCAGCCCCACCTACCTCACAGGGTGTCTGTTGTGGGGAGGGGAAGGGAAAGGAGTTTGTAAGCCGCTCTGAGACACCTTTGGGTAGTGAAGGATGGGGTATAAATCCAATCTCTTCTCTTCTCCTTCTTCAGTTTCTTTCAATTTTTTTGTCTACTTATCCTTTTGACTGTGTATCTCCTTTCTACTTAGCAGTTGTTAGAGCGAGAGACTAGGACAGGTATCCCCAATGTGGTGCCCACAGGTGCCAGGGCGCCCCCGCAAGTGCTTTTAGAAAGTGGGCGTGCCTAGGTGGGGCTGTATCCTGTTAAACAGCTTCTTCTGCCCAAAATGTTGAAGTTATCATGGGAGTTGTATATAACCTCGATCCCTGAGATTTTTGTGGTTGACTCCCCCTCCTGTGGCAGCCATTTTATGACTGCCCCCCCCCCCATCAGAATTTCAAAAGTGCCCAGAGGCACAGAAAGGTTGGGGACCCCTGAACTAGGCTCTGGCAGACCCAGGTTCAAATTGTCTTTTTTGCCACGGTCCTCATTGGGAGACTTTTGGCCAGTCACGGTCTCTCAGTCTAACCCCCCTCACTGGGTTGTTGTGAGGGCAAAATGGAGAACAGGAAAACACTTTTGGTCCTCCTGTTGGGGGAGAAAGGTAGGGTAGAAATGAAGTAATGTCTATGAAAGTTTCTTAAAAAGGATCTCAGGGGCAGCTGGTGCTCTGCTCGGCAAAGGACCACAGAACCAAGACAGATTTTCGCCGATTCTTTCAGACACACTAGGACCCGCACCTTTGCTTTTCCTCATCGTAAGCCCAGAGCTTCATCTGCAGTTCAAGTTCGCTGCCCTTCTCTTCACGCTGCTCCACGGTTGCCAGCCAGTCGCCTCTGGAGTCAAACGCTGCCTTCACCAGCTCCACCTGGTTCAGACCGTGTTGGTGAATGTACTCCTGCTGGACGATATCCAGCTGCAAGAATTTTAAGAAGTGAAATAAGGATTCCGAGCTCAGACATGGGAAAGAAGCTACCGACTGAGGGAAAATCTTGTGAAAGTTGCAGTAAGAAATGAAACGAAACAAAACAAGAGAGAGGGGGAAAAATCCACAGTCCCTCATGTTTTTAAGGGGATACAAAGGTAGACGTTACACCATAAAGCGAACGTTTGTCGAGCTTACTGCTTTAGTTTCTCAACCACCCCTTATTGCATGGGTCCCCCGGCCTTTTTGGGACTGTAGGGCACCTTTCGAACTCTTACAGAGTGTGGTGGGCACAACCACTAAAATGGCTGCCACGAGAGGTGGAGCCAGCCACAAAATGGCTGCCATGGCTTATTTTCCCTCACACAGTGAAGGTTCTTGAACTGTGGTGGCAGCTATTGCAAATCTAACTTAAAAAAAAATCCGCACAGCCAATCAAATGTCCAGTGGCCAATCCGAAGCTTTGGTGGGCAAAAGGCCCACCTGGTTCCGCCCACCAGAACACTTGACGGGCACCAGCAAGGTGTCCATGGTTGCCGTGGTACCCACGGTCACCATAGTGGTGATGGGGGGGGGGGAGGTCCTTGCCCTACAGTTCTGTGTTACATGAGCCACTGTTTCATTAAACTAAAAAATACACCAGTGCTTTCTGAGCCAGGGTAAAACATTTTGCTAATTAACCCAGTAGAAAAAAAATCATTCCCTCGTGAAACGAGGTAAAAATGATGCTGAGTTATTTGTGCCGAGTTTAGAAGGCCAAGATTGAACACACGAAAGTGGGCACCTTTAACATGGCGGTGGAAAGTGCCCTCAAGTAACAGGCAATGCCCCCTCTAAGCTGTGGAGTCTTGTGAGCAAAAACTCTACTTTGTGAGCTACTCGCGTTAAAGTTGTGAGCGGGCGACTTGGCAACTGCATGAATTAATTTGCTCTGGAGCCCTCCTTCCTGAGCGGAGACAAAATTTTTATTTATTTATTTATTTATTTTCCCCCCTTAAATTTCTAACCCGCCCTCCCGCCAAAGCATTTGTGTGAGGTGGAGGCTAATAAACTGTGAGCTAGCTCACACTAACTCAGCTTAGAGGGAACATAGGTCACAGGTGACTTCTGGCGACCCTGTAGGGGTTTCAGGGCAAGAGACGTTCAGAGGTGGTTCGCCATCACCTGTCTCTGTGTCCTTAACCTAGGGGTCCTTTAACTGGGCACAAAAAAAAACAGTCGTATAATAATGCAGAGTATCAAAATAGTAACAATTGACAGAGGATGCATGCAAGATCAGGCCTTAAAATCATGGCCTGAAAAATCTGCTTTCTGTATTCTTGGTGCTGGGGGGGGGGGCAACAATGGGAGGGCTTCTGGAGTTCTGGTTCCACTGGTGGACCTCCTGAGGGCACCTGGGTTCTGGCCACTGTGTGACATGGAGAGACTCAATGGGCCATTGGCCTGATCCAACATGGGTTATCTTGTGTTCTTATGTCTGGGGCAGTGGTGCTCTGTATTCTTGGTGCTTGGGGGGCAACAGTGGGAGGGGTTCTGGAGTTCTGGCCCTGCTGGTGGACCTCCTGATGGCACCTGGGTTTTGGCCACTGTGTGTTAGACTCAATGGGCCATTGGCCTGATCCAACACGGCTTCTCTTACGGTCTTCAAAATTTTCTAACATCCAGCCTGAAGAAGAGTTCTACTGAGCTTGAAGACTTGCAGTGTTTTGTGCCAATATAAGGTATGACACAGATTTCGTTCTTGTGTCCACAATAATTCTACCAGTTTCTTTCCAATAGCTCCTCAGCCACTATCCTGAGGGAACAGACTAGCACGTGTGTGCATGACTCCAATGTCGATTCCATTCCGGCTACCAAAACGTCACGCTGCAATGCTTGGCTCTCTCTGCCATTCTCTGCATATGCACCCTCTTCTCCCTTCTGGACCACATCACTACTTTAAGGTGGAACGTGCCTAGCATGATCGGGTCCCAGTGGCCTAGCTTACATTGTAGAGCTGCTTGTCGTTTTGCAGCGAATAGAACTGCAGATGACCCGGTTTGCCGTTCAGAACCAAGGCGTTTGTCCTTGGGTCCACCATCAAGCCGGCCTTGACGTCACTCCCTGGAAGGAGAAAGAGAATCCGAGATGGAATGCAATTTCTTCTGGCGAGGTGGAAACCAAGCCCCCAAACATCTTCCAATTGTGTTTTTAAAACAATACCTTTGATTAATCCTTGAATTGTAGCCGATACTCTTAAGCTGCTGCGTATGATGGTTATTTCTGCATGTTATCAGAATAAAAAAAGAAAGTCAACAAGAATGAAGGCGTACAGAAGACAAAACCTTCTTAAGCAGGAAGAATGTGACTAGATAGGAAGATTCTAAAACGTCTGATATGTCAGAATCCACCCTCTCCAGTGGCTGTTTTCACACCCGCCAAATATTCCGCCGTGTCCTTTTCACCATACTGACCGGAGTGCCAATGTCACCCATGGAAAAATAACTCGATAACTCTAAACAAATCTTTTTGTTTGGGGTAGTGGTTAAGTGCGCGGACTCTAATCTGGGAGAACCGGGTTTGATTCCCCACTCCTCCACTTGCACCTGCTGATGTGACCTTTGGTCAGTCACAAGCTCTGGCACAGCTGTCCTTGAAAAAGAGCAGTTTGTGTCAGAGTTCTCTCAGCCTCACCCACCTCACAGGGTGTCTATTGTGGGGAGGGGAAAGGGAAAGGAGTTTGTAAGCTGCTCTGAGACTCCAAGTGAAGGGCGGGGTATAAATCCAATCTCTTTATCCTCCTCTTTTAATATACCAATAATAGAAATAATACTTCTGTGTTCATTTAAAAAGATCATTGATACAATTCAGGAAAGGAGGACTACGGGTATGAGTCATACCTCAGAGGTGTTATTTCTATTATTTGATGTTTATGTACTTAGAAAACTGGTATATTAAAAAGATTTGTTTTAGAGTTAATTAGTTATTTTTCTACGGTTACTGTTTCTCTTATTCGGACTCATATCCGTAGTTCCCCCTTCCTGTACTGAATGCCACACACGGGCCTGTCCACCAGCCACATATCGCCCTGCTGGGGGCACTGTAGCGTGTGCGTTTGAACACCTTGCCATTGCTGGCGTTATGGGGAAAGTTTAATGGTATTCCATACTCTAATAGAGTCGGTGGATGTGGTACTAACTGAACCGACCCTACAGATCGCACACTTTTCGATTGCCCCGAATTTTCAGATTGGAGAGCCGAACTGATTTTTTCCTTTGCTCAAGCAGGACTCCGTCTCTCTAGAACAGGGAGTCCCCAAGATGGTGCCTGCCGACACCTTTCCTGGCATGTGCCAAGTGTTTTTAGAAAGTGGGCGGGGTCAGATGGGGCTAAGGTAAAGAGTTCCACTTGGCCCCACCCACTTTCTAAAAACAGCTGGCGAGCTGCAGGAAGCGTGTTGGTGGTAACCATGTTGGGGATGGCGATAGATGCATTTGTTTTTAATTATTTAACTATTGATACAATGCAATCCCCCTCATGGATCACTGCCTTGTCGTGGCGAGGGGGCTTGAGCAGTTCAATGAAGCTGTGGGCTATGCCGTGAAGGGCCACCCAAGACGGACAGGCCACAGCAGAGAACTCAGACCAAGCGTGATCCCCCTGGAGAAGGTAATGGCAACCCACTCCAGTACTTTTGCCAAGAAAACCCCATGGACAGTATCAAAAGGCTAAAAGATATGACACCGGAAGATGAGCCCCTCAGGTCGGAAGGTGTCCAATATGCTACTGAGGAAGAGCAGAGGGCAAGTACAAGTAACCCCAGAAAGAGTAAAGCGCCTGGGCCAAAGCTGAAAGGACGCTCAGTTGTGGATGTGTCTGATGGTGAAAGGAAAGTCCAATGCTGCAAAGAACAATACTACATAGGAACCTGGAATGTAAGATCTATGAATCAAGGTAAGCTTGACGTGGTCAAAAATGAGATGGCAAGACTGAACATCGATATCCTAGGAATCAGTGAACTAAAGTGGACAGGAATGGGCGAATTTAACTCAGAAGACCATTATATCTACTACTGTGGCCAGGAATCTCGTAGAAAAAATGGTGTGGCCTTTATAGTCAACAAGAGAGTGCAAAAGGCAGTACTGGGATACAATCTCAAAAATGACAGAATGATTTCTGTCCGATTCCAAGGCAAACCATTCAACATCACAGTAATTCAAGTGTATGCCCCAACCACTGATGCAGAAGAGGCTGAAGTGGACCGGTTCTATGAAGACCTACAACACCTCCTAGAACTAACACCAAAAAATGATGTCCTCATCATCATAGGGGACTGGAATGCTAAAGTAGGAAGTCAAAAGGTAACCGGAATAACAGACAAGTTTGGCCTTGGAAAGCAAAATGAAGCAGGGCAAAGGTTAACAGAGTTTTGTCAAGAGAACACACTGGTCATAGCGAACACCCTTTTCCAACAACCTAAGAGGCGACTCTACACATGGACATCACCAGATGGGCAACACCGAAATCAGATTGACTATATAATTTGCAGTCAAAGATGGAGAAGCTCTATCCAGTCAGTAAAAACAAGACCTGGAGCTGACTGTGGTTCAGATCATGAGCTACTCATTGCAAAATTCAGACTTAAACTGAAGAAAATTGGGAAAACCACGAGGCCATTCAGGTTTGACCTAGATCGCATCCCTGATGAATATACAGTAGAGGTGAAGAATAGATTCAAGGGTCTGGATTTGATAGATAGAGTGCCTGAAGAACTATGGACAGAGGTTCGTGACATCGTACAGGAGGCAGCAATCACCACCATACCAAAGAAAAAGAAATGCAAGAAAGCAAAATGGCTTTCTGATGAGGCTTTACAAATAGCAGAGGAAAGAAGGAAAGCGAAAGGCAAAGGCGAAAAGGAAAGATTTACCCAACTGAACGCAGATTTCCAGAGAACAGCAAGGAGAGATAAGGAGGCCTTCCTGAATGAACAGTGCAAAGTAATAGAAGAAAACAATAGAATGGGAAGGACTAGAGATCTCTTCAAGAAAATTGGAGAAATCAAGGGAGCGTTCCATGCAAAGCTGGCCATGATAAAGGACAAAAACGGTAGGGACCTAACAGAAGCAGAAGAGATTAGGAAAAGATGGCAAGAATACACAGAAGAACTATACAAGAAAGACCTCAATGTCCTTGACAAACACGACGGTATAATCACTGACCTTGAGCCAGACATCCTGGAATGTGAAGTTAAATGGGCCTTAGAAAGCATTGCTAACAACAAAGCTAGTGGAGGTGATGGTATTCCAGCTGAGCTATTCAAAGTCTTAGAAGATGATGCTGTTAAAGTGCTGCACTCCATTTGCCAGCAAATTTGGAAAACGCAACAGTGGCCACAGGATTGGAAAAGATCAGTATACATTCCAATCCCAAAGAAGGGCAATGCCAAGGAATGTTCAAACTATCGCACAATTGCACTCATATCACACGCTAGCAAGGTCATGCTCAAGATCCTACAAGCTAGGCTTCAACAGTACGTGGATAGAGAACTACCAGAAGTACAAGCTGGGTTTCGAAGAGGTAGAGGAACTAGAGATCAAATTGCCAACATTCGCTGGATTATGGAGAAAGCAAGAGAGTACCAGAAAAATATCTACTTCTGCTTCATTGACTATGCTAAAGCTTTTGACTGTGTGGATCACAACAAACTATGGCAGGTCCTTAAAGAGATGGGAGTACCAGACCACCTCACATGTCTCTTGAGAAACCTGTATAAGGGCCAAGAAGCGACAGTTAGAACCGGATATGGAACAACTGATTGGTTCAGCATAGGAAAAGGAGTACGACAAGGATGTATATTGTCGCCTTGCTTATTTAATATATATGCAGAGTACATCATGCGAAATGCTGGCCTGGATGAATCACAAGTGGGAATTAAGATTGCTGGGGAAAAGATCAACAACCTCAGATATGCAGATGATACCACTCTAATGGCTGAAAGTGAAGAGGATCTAAAGAGCCTCTTGCTCAGGGTAAAAGAGGAGAGCGCAAAAGTGGGCTTGAAGCTCAACATCAAAAAAACTAAGATCATGGCATCCGGCCCCATCACTCCTTGGCAAATAGAAGGGGAAGTCGTGGAAGTAGTGACAGACTTCACGTTCCTGGGATCCCAGATTACCGCAGAATGTGACTGCAGCCATGAAATTAAAAGACGCCTGCTCCTCGGGAGGAAAGCGATGGCGAACCTAAACAGCATGATAAAAAGTAGAGACATCAGCCTGCCAAAAAAAGTCCGCATGGTCAAAGCAATGGTATTCCCAGTAGTCATGTATGGCTGTGAGAGTTGGACTATAAGGAAGGCCGAGCGCCGAAGAATAGATTCTTTTGAACTATGGTGCTGGAGAAGACTCTTGAGAGTCCCTTGGACTGCAAAAAGATCAAATCAGTCAATCCTAAAAGAAATCAACCCTGACTGTTCCGTGGAAGGCCAGATAATGAAGCTGAAGCTCAAATACTTTGGCCACCAAATGAGAAGGGAGCACTCACTGGAGAAGACCCTGATGCTGGGAAAGATCGAAGGTCAAAGAAGACGGGAGCTGGTCCATGGGGTCGCGAAGAGTCGGACTCGACTGTGCGACTGAACAACAAGAACAACAATGCAATAGGGCTAGGAACATGAAATTCAACAGCGACGCCAGGAACGAGAAGAGCCGGCTGCCTACGGTAAGTTATTGTGGGAGTGATGCTGAATGAGGGGTTACAGGGTTACGAGACAATGCAGTATAAGTCAGAAAATACCTACAATAAGCAAGTTTCTCTTGAACTTAAGAAGAGCCCTGCTGGATCAGACCAGTGGTCCATCTAGTCCAGCATCCTGTCTCATACAGTGGCCAACCCGTTCCTCTGGAGGGTCAACAGCAGGGCATAGAGGCCGAGGCCTTCCACTGATGTTGCCTCCTGGCTCTGGGATTCAGAGGATTAATGCCTCTGAATGTGGAGGTTCCCCTCAACCACCATGGCTAGTAGCTATTGATAAACCTCTATGACTCTATCTCATCCCCCTTTAAAGCTGTTTATTTCATGACAGCCTCTGGCAGCGAATTCCACATTTTAACCACTCTCTGTGTAAAGTAGTGTTTCCTTTTATCCACCTTGCACCTACTGCCCATCAGCTTCATTGGATGCCCTCAAGTTCTAGTCTTTTGGGAGAGGGAGGAAAATTCCTCTTTGTCAACTCGCTTCACCCGGTGCATAACTTTATAAACCTCTATCATGTCCCAAAATGTTCAATTTCTCAAAGAACTTCAAATGGTTGGTGAGGTAGGACTTCACTTTGCAGAAGCCATACTGGTTTTACCTTGGCACGCCTTGTCCTTCTATGTGCCTAACAACCCTATCTTTGATTACAGTTTCTTCGCCAAGAGGAAATACAAATTGGATACAAATTCAAATAATATTACGAACTAATTGTAGTAGTAGTACATTTACTACGACATTGAGCCAAGCATTAACCAAAACACAAACTAATTGGTTCAAGTATGACAAAGCTTTGTCAAAGTTGTTAGGCACATACACACAAGCCACAGACGATTCTCACAACGGGTAGAAAACAAATGGCCCTTACTGTTATCTGAATGCGAGGTACAAAAAAACGTTCCATCAGGAGAGGCAGAAATATTCCGGATTGCGGATCCCAAGCGAGGCAAGAACTCCTTCTTTGAGTCAGATACGTCTCGCCACTGGACCAGTACCGATTCAACTCCACCGCTCAGAAGGCTGGTTCCTGTCGACCCGAACAAAATACACGTGCCGTCGAAGCGATTCAATACACCAAAATGTATTTTACATGTTCCTCAATAAACATACATCGTTCAACAAGTTTCTCATAAGAACATAAGAAAAGGCATGTTGGATTAGGCCAATGGCCCTTGAAGTCCAACACTCTGTGTCACACGGTGGCCAAAACCCAGGGGCCATCAGGAGGTCCACCAGTGGGGCCAGAACTCCAGGAGCCCTCCCACTCTTGCCCCCCAAACACCAAGAATACAGAGCATCACTGCCCCACACATGGTGTTCCCTCTATACTTTGTGGCTAATAGCCACTGACAGACCTCTGCTCCGTTTGTTTATCCAATCCCCTCTTGAAGCTGTCTAGCCTTGTAGCAGCCACCACTTCTTGCAGCAGTGAATTCCACATGTTCATTACTCTCTGGGTGAAGAAGTACTTCATTTTATCTGTTCTAAGCCTACTTCACATTAAATTCATCGAGCGCCCACGAGCTCTTGTATTGTGAGAAAGGGAGAAAAGTACTTCTCTCACACACAATGTTATTTTCTGCCTTAAGACAGACAGGCTTTGCGTACTCTGGGCTAAAATTTAAAAAATCTGACATAAGTCTTTTGCTTGTGGAAAGGGGGCTGATTCCACCCCCCCCCCCAACTCTTGCTCCCAGGACACAGCATGTGTGGGGGAGGCTGCAGTGTGGAATTAGGGAAAACTGCACACCCCCCAGCAGAAAACTTAGGCAAAACTCAGGCACGAAAATTACGTGCCAAAGTAAGCCCATTCTGCAAGAACAGCTGAGTTCTCTAGGCCATATGAGTCTCCCGAAGAAGAAGAGAAGAGATTGGATTTAAACCCTGCCCTTCACTACCCAAAGGAGTCTCAGAGCGGCTTACAAACTCCTTTCCTTTCCCCTCCCCACAACAGACACCTTGGGAGGTAGGTGGGGCTGAGAGAGCTCTGACAGAAACTGCTCTTTTTAAAGGACAGCTCTGACAGAACTATGGCTTGCCCAAGGTCATCCAGCAGGTGCAAGTGGAAGAGTGGGGAATCAAACCCGGTTCTCCCAGACTAGAGTCCATGCACTTAACCACTACACAAAACTGCCCCCCGTACACCTATTCTTTTAAACTCTTTTGCGTAATTTATTCTGCTTATAGCTGTCATTTGCAGAGCAAGGAACTTGCAGCCCCTGAACTCTGCAACTGATTGTTGTGGGCCAGCAATGAAATCTTAAGGGCAAGTTGTAAATTTGGACTCAGATGCCAACGAAGATTAAAGGACTGCTGTTTCTGATAGCATCGTATATGACAGCTATCTAGACTGTGTGTTACAATTCTTTTTGGGAAAGCATGTCTTTTCTTGTTTCAATGGAGCTGGAGACTTCCTTCGGTGACAACAGGTATTAGTGGGGAGATAAAATTTGCACCCACGGCTGAAATGTTTGGTTTGCTTTACATCTCTACGTTATTTATAATTGTACCTGTCATGGGAAAGGTGATTGTAAGAGTGTGACATCTTCGTGTGCATTAGGTCGATTTTACTGAATAGTTTTTTACACTAGACGAAGGCATCTATATGGGGGCTCACTGAACCAACAACTACAATTTAAAAAAGCGGATTAGGCAGATTGATTACAATAGTTCTATTCTTTGTGCTCGTCTGTGAGTCACAATTTTTTGGAATACTTCCCTCTGATTCTCTTCCCTCCTATGCTTACCATCTGACCTCACCTGGTCTATTCTGGGCTTTTATTCTTGGTAGAATGAATGCCCATTCAACAGTGGTTACGAGAGGCGGCTTTTTCCATCTTCTCTACTCTGACAGGATTTGCTCTTGCTCCCTTGGGTAGGATAGATTCAGTCTCTCATATTTTATTGGAATGCCCTCTATATCCTAATCTAAGATGCCATTTTATTCTACCGTGGCTGGTGAATTTCAGCGAGTATAATCCAAGCAGGCTGGTCCCCTTCCTACACTCAGATCAAAATCCTAATATAACCTAATATAATTTCCCACTCCTGTTGTCTTTCATGAAATAGAGATTCAATTTCAAATTGTTATACTGCTCAAGGCATTGAGTTATAGAGCTTTTATTGGACGAAGGAAAGGAAGACATCCAGGGGTCATTTCCTGCAGGAGCAGAGCTCCGGCAGTAAAGAGCCCAGGGGGCGGGCACATGCAACAAGCCCCACCCCCTGCTCCCAGCAGCCCTTAGTCAGAGCAAGAAGCAGCCAGGTAAGTTGCAGAGCCCCCCCCCCCCAGTCCAAAACAGTCCAATGGCACCTTTAAGACCAAGTTTTATTCAGGTACAAGCTCTCCCTCCTCTGTGAGGACTAGAGATGTGAAGGCCCGGAAAAAACCCGGAAAAATTCGGGAAAAAAACAGTTTTTCCGTTTTTTTCCTGAAGCCTTTTTTGTTTTTTCCGAAAAATTGGAAAAATAAAATAAAATAAAATAAATTGACTATGGAACGTTTTATTTTAACATGATGAATAAAATATTTTAAGACAAGGAGTTCAAATATTTTCCAAATTATTTCTAAAATATATCTATATGGTATCAGATTGATCTAATTTCTGTGCACTGAGGACAAGCAAGTCCTAGGTTACAAACTGAACTCTCCAATGCAAGAACAAGATGCATTTCTTCCTTTAGGAGGTGCTATTGTCAGAAGAAAATAAAAAGGTTTCAGTTTTGTTTTTGCATGTGGATGGGTATTCTGTTTGTAATAATTGTTTGGATACACTATATTTTTAATATGCTAGTTGTGATAATTTCATGCCAAGTAAAAATGTCCATAGTCATATTTTATATTCCTAAAGTAACAGAAAGACTTTCAATCTGGAAAAGACAAAAGAAATGCTAATGTAGCCTTTTTTTCAATTTTTCCGAAAATTTCCGTTTCCCCCCGAAAAAACCCGGAAAAAAAACGGGGTTTTTTCCGAGCTTCAAAATTTCTGGAAATTTTACATCTCTAGTGAGGACAGATCCGCACGTCCCCCCCCCCCTCCAATTGCTAGGAATCCAACAGTCCAGTGGAGCCTGAGCGGTGAGTGTTGCCGTCTAACACACTTCCGGTGATGTCGGGGGGTGTGGATTATGCAAATAAGTTATGCTAATGAGTTATGCTGATGAGCTCCTGCACCTCTTTTTCTACGAAATGACCCCTGAAGACATCCATATAGGTCACCAAAAATGGATGCATTTTGATGCACAATTAATAATATTTATAATTTGATTAATGTTTTTGGAATATAGTTTTAGCCTTACTGTAACTGACATTTATATTCCCATACAATAGTTGTTTTTCTTTTTTTCAGCCTTTCTGGTACCTAATACTGGTCCCCCCCCCCCCCCCCCCCCCCCCCCGGCGCGGCCGAGCGACAGACTATTAGCTTATATTTGGAGCCTGGCCCCACATCTCTTGTATGTGGCAATATCCATGGACGACATGGAGCCATCCAGGTTTAACGGTTAGTAAGGTACCAGAATGGCATTATGGAAAGTGATGGCAAACTTACATTCACATTACCGATATTTTAAGTATTTAATAAGCAGCTGAAGTTTGTAAAACTAACTCTATTTTGGAATCAATTAAATCATCCTTGCCCTGACCTAGATAGCCCAGGCTAGCCCGATCTTGTCAGATCTCAGAAGCTAAGCAGGGTCGGCCCTGGTTAGTACTTGGATGGGAGACAGCCAAAAAAGTCCAGGGTTGCTAGGCAGAGTCAGGCAACAGCAAACCACCTCTGAATGTCTCTTGCATTGAAAACCCCATCGTATCCCAGTGTGTGTAGTATAGCCAGGAGATCCTAAGATTGTCTGGCAGCCAGAAGTTCTAGCTCTTTTAGAATTATGCACCACAAAGTGGTGAGCTAGACTTGGTTTTAAGCTGAGGGACATTTCAGAGGTAGTCTGCCATTGCCGGCCTCTGCGTCATGACCCTGGTATTCCTTGGAGGTCACCCTTCCAAATATTAGCCGGGACTGACCCTGTTTAGCTTCCGAAATCTGATGGGATTGGGTTAGCCTGGGCCCTATAATTCACTATAATTTGACTGTGATTTGATGATCCTTCCCACACACAAATAGTCCTGAGGGGCAGTGATTTGTCTAAGGCCACCAGCCAAGGGGTGATTCGAACCAGGGTCTTCCTTACCTTCTACAGAGAAAGCGAGATCCATCACTTCATCATGATGCCAGTGCAGAGTGGAGAATGTGTACTCTCTCTTATGATGGAAGTTTCTCCTGTTAGGGCAAAAAACATCATTTAAGGATGGAGCTTTCGAAGATTCAGAGCTGAACCCCTATGCATAAACAGTTGCACGAACTCTCTCTGAAAACTCTAGCTCAAGGGTGTCAAACATGTGGCCTGGGGGCCAGATCAGGCCCCCGGATGGGCTTCTATCAGGCCCGCAGTGGAACTGGCTGTCTTCTGCTTCTTCTTCCAGTTCTGCTGCTGCTGCGCCATTGTAGGTTTGCAGCTTACAGATACACACCTGAATAGCACACTCAGGTTTGCAACAGCAGACATTTTGATGCAATAATTCAGAGCAAGAAGGGTCAGTTATCAGACACTGTTAAATTACCAAAATATTGCAAGAGTGCTGATGTTTTAAGCATGATTTTATTTTAAGGAAAAAAAACACCCTCCTTTGTGTTTGTGTCCTTTATAAAGCTTATATCTCCACTACCTGGCATTACCTCTCATGACATGCATGGCCCAGCCCAAACAGGGTCTCATTTATGTCAGATCCGGCCCTTGTAACAAATGAGTTTGACACCCCTGCTCTAGCTATAGCAACTCTTAGGTGATCAGCCTCATTTGTGCATACAGAATGATATGTTTTAAAATCTAAAATGTGCAAGCACTCTGATCCAGCTAAGCAGAGTTGTATGCATGAAAAGGCTCTACGTGCACTTATCACTTGAGGTATTCTAAGAGGCCTCCCTAGTCCCTAGATGGACAAAAGGAGAGACTACTTGACACAGAGAATGATCGAAATGTGTAATTCGCTGCCAGAGGATGTCGCGATGGCCACAGGAACATGCAGCTTTCAAAGGGGATCTGATAGATTCATGGAGGAGAGGTCTACCAATGGCTACTAGCCATGGTGGCTGAAGGGAACCTCCACAGCCAGAGGCGATAAACCTCTGAATCCCAGAGCCCAGGAGGAAATGTAAGGGGAAGGCTTTGGCCTCTGCGCCCTGTTGTTGGCCCTCAAGAGGAAGGGGTGGCCCCTGTGTGAGACAGGAAGCTGGACTGGACTGGATGGACCACTGGTCTGACCCAGCAGGGCTCTTCTGATGTTCTTATCAGAGGAAGGCCTCGGCTTCTCTGCCATGTTGTTGGCCCTCAAGAGGAAGTGGTGGCCACTGTGTGAAACAAGATGCTGGGCTAGATGGACCACTGGTTTGATCCAGCAGGGCTCTTCTGATGTTCCTATCAGAGGAAGGCCTCGGCATCTCTGCCCTGTTGTTGGCCCTCAAGAGGAAGGGGTGGCCCCTGTGTGAGACAGGAAGCTGGACTGGACTGGATGGACCACTGGTCTGACCCAGCAGGGCTCTTCTGATGTTCTTATCAGAGGAAGGCCTCGGCTTCTCTGCCATGTTGTTGGCCCTCAAGAGGAAGTGGTGGCCACTGTGTGAAACAAGATGCTGGGCTAGATGGACCACTGGTTTGATCCAGCAGGGCTCTTCTGATGTCTTCCACAGCCAGTCACAGGTTAACCAGGTTATAAATGCTTAAACAAACAAATAAAGAGGCTCTACAAAATGGCTGGCGATTATCAGATGCTTTGGCCGCAGTCTTCACATGCCAAGAAATATTTTGCAAGATGCTTCAGTGGCCTGTGCATCAATGTCGCACTCTTATACAGCAGTGACTTCTGATTACAGCAGAGCAGATGCTGAGCGACAACCTTTGGCACCTGTGCTGTGACGAAAGTTTTGCCTTACCACACACGGATCTTGCCGTCTTTGTGGCCGCTGGCTATGCAGTCTTCCTTTGGGTGGCAGGCCACACAAGTGAAGAAGTTGTTGGCTCCTTTGGTGCATTTCGCACTTAGAGGAAAGCTGCAGAAAGAGAAGGGTGGCATAAGTTAGTTCGACCGTCTGAGAAAGATTTCCTCCAAGAGCACCAAATACAGCCTCAGACGGGAATCTCGCCTCGAGAGGACAAAGCGTATTTCGACAGTGGGGAGGGGATTTATCGAAATAAGATTTCTCTTTACATTTTCTCTTTAAAAAACCCACACAAAACAAAAGCCATAACTCCAGGCCTTAACTGATTCGCGGGAGTACTGGATTAACTAAGGCAGGGGTGTCAAACATAAGGCCCGGGGGCCAGAACCGGCCCATCCACGGTTCCTATCTGGCCTGCAAGCAACTTGTATGTAAAAAAACTAGTTTTGTATTATTATTATTATTATTTAGATTTCTGAATCGCCCAACTCCGCAAGTGACCTCTGGGCAATTTACAGCATTAAAACAGATAAAATACAATCAACATGATAAGATTATTACAATGCACTAATAAAACAACCAATCCAGACAGCGACCAGTCCCTTTTTTGCCTGCTGTCATCTTCTCTGCGCAGCGGGGCGGGGAAGGGGACGCGGGCTCAAAAGTAAAAAAAAGAAAGGTGCCAGTTTTAACCGTCGCTGTCCTCAGCCAAAAGCCTGGCGGAACAACCTCTGCCTTACGGGCCCTGCGGAACTGCATCAGACCCCACAGGGCCCTGGTGTGTCATTCGGCAGAGAGTTCCACCAGGTCGGGGCCAGGACCGAAAAGGCCCTGGCCCTGGTCGAGGACAGCTGGAACTCATCAATTAGTTATCCACTTATCTCAGCGCTCTTCTGGGGACATACTGGAGAAGGCGGTCCTGAAGGTACTTGGGTCCCTGACCGCTCAAGGCCTTAAAAGTCAACACTTCTATTTGGACTTTTGTGGGCTCCCCGGTAAATCAATTGCTTTCACTGCTAGGAATCAATTGCTTTTGTTTGTATTTTGAGTAAAAAAATTATACTGTTGAGTTTGCCTGTGCCCTTTATACTAGGGAGCAAAGCCCGTTGTGGACAGAGATAACGAGCGCCTAGAAAGGTAGGGAGGATGGGTGGGTGGAAAAAGAAAGAAAGAAAGGATGGAAGGGGGGAGAGAGAGAGAGAGAGAGAGAGAGAGAGAGGAAGGAAGGAAGGAAGGAGAAAGAGAGAGAAAGTAAGTAAGTAAGTGTGGGGGGGGGAGAGAGAGAAAGGA